AATAGCTAAATCTTGGAAACAGCCCATTTGCCCATCCGTTGGAAACTGGATAAAGAAGTTGTGGTTTTTCTATAAAATGGAATATTACTCAGCCATAAAGAACGAGAAAATAGATTCATTCATAGGAAAATGGATACATATTGAAGACATACTCCTAAGTGAAATAAATAAGTCACACATGTGTAAATACCAAATAGTTTCCCTGGTGTGAATAATCTGCAACAATGCATAAGATTCTAATAAGATTCCTGACATTTAGAAATAGGAAGAAAGGAGCTAAAGGTGTAGGGAAGGTGGGATGGGTGGGGAAGAGTAAAAAGGAAAAAGAAAAAAATGTGAGATAATGAAAAGATGAAAATAAAGTGTTTGTAGATGGGAAGGGGAGGAGGGGGTGAAGGGAGGGCAGGGGTAAGGGGAAAAAATGAGAATCAAGACTTGTCATGTGGAGGTACGAGATCCCAACAATGAATGTAACTGTACTGTATCCCTGAAATGTACCAATAAACTCAATTAAAAAAAAAAACTCCATGCAAACCAGTGCCCAGAAGCAAGCAAGAATAACTATCCTAATATCAGACAAAGTGGACTTCAAGCCAAAACTGATGAAAAGAGACAAAAGGCCACTACATATTGGTAGTGAGTAGAAGTCAATAGGAAGAGATAACAATTACAAATATACACATTATATATATGCACTAAATGTCAGCATACTTAATTGCATAAAACAAAAACTTCTTTACTTAAAAGGATCAGCAGAGATCAATACAATTATAGTGTGGGAATTTAATAGCTGTTACAAATAGGTTAACCAAACAGGATTCAACAAAGAAATATTAGAGTCAAACCATTCTCCTTAACAAAAGGACCTAACAAAGAGCTATTGAGTGCTTTATCTAAAAGCTGCATAGTGCATATACTTCTCAGCAGCCCATGGTACTTTCTCTAAAATAGAACATCTTAGGTTATAAAGTATATTTACTTATGTATTTTTCCTTTAAGTTTACTGGTACATTTAATGCAAACAATAGTTACATTTATGATTGGGATTTGTGCCTTTACAGGATACATGTACATGATATATCTTGGTCCTTGTTTTTTCCCATACCCCTGCCCTCTCTTCACCCTCTTTACCTTTCCCTATTTACAAAGACTTTGTTTCCATTTTTTCACATACACTTAAATAAATATAAAAGAATGAAAATAACCTCTTGCATCCTATGATATCACAGTGGAATAAAACTAAATCCACAGTAAAAAAAACCACACAAATTACACAAACACATGAAAATTACATGATACTTTCCTGAATAATCAATGGGTTACCAAAAAAATCAGGGAAGAAACTGAAAAATTCCTAGACTCAAGTGACTACTGAAGTACAATACACTGAAACCTGTGGAACACAATAAAGGACTTTTAAGAGGGAAGTGTTGCTCTGAGTGCCTACATTAGAAAAGTAGACTATTACTGAATAATCTAATGTTGATGCATCTCAAGGGCCTAGAAAAACAAAAGCAATCCAAACTCCAAAACTATTGAAAGAAAGTAACTGTAAAGATCAGAGCAGATATCAATAAAGGATGAATGAATCACAAAATAGGTTCTTTCAAAGTATAAATAAAATGAAAAAAATCCTTTAACCAGATTTAGCAATGGAAAAAAATATCCATCTCAATGCAATTAGAAGTGCAAAACACGCTGGGCATGGTGGCACACACCTGTAATCCCAGCACTCAGGAGGCTGAGGCAGGAGGATCGCTGTGAGTTCGAGACCAGCCTGGACTACATAGTGAGTTCCACGGCAGTCTCAACTACATAGTGATACCCTGTCTCAAAAACAAAAACAAAAACCAAGAAAAGTGAAAAGACAAAATCACAACAGGTATTGCTGAAATCCAGAGGATTATAACAAACTATTTTGGAAACTTGCAGTCCAATGAACTGAAGAATCTAGGAGAAATGGATAAATTTCTAGACACTTGACTTACCAAAGTTGGACTAAGAAGATATAAAAGCCCTGAGTAGTCTGATAGTAGTCAGTGAAATGGATTGAGGCAGTAATAAAAGTATAGTACCTAGGAAAAGCCCAGGACCTGATGTATTCATTGCTGAAATTTGCCAGAACTTGAGAGAAAAATGAATGCCCATACTTCTCAAACTTCCCCATGAAATGGAAAGAAAAACAGTGCCAAATTCACTCCTTGAAGCCAGCATTACCCAACACCAAAACTAAGTGTTAGGGTTTAGATCTAGACTGTCCTCCAAAAGCCTCCTGTGTTCAGAGGTGGGGCTTGTGGGAAGTGACTGGATCAGGGGTGTGCTATACTCACTGGCACAGGCAAGAACTTCCCGAACAAAAAAATCCCGAGTGCACAAGAAATAATTCCAAGAATCGACGTATGGGATTCTATCAAATTTAAGTTTCTACACAGCATAAGAAACAATCAGCATGGAGAAGGGACAGTCTACAGAATGGGGAAAAGCTTTTTGCCAGATATTCTTCAGACAGAGGACTGATACCTACAATACATAAAAATAACACCTAAAAAATTAGGTGCTCCTAAAAACAAGATTCATTCAAAAATAGAAGAGGTACAAATGGCTAATAGATACATGAAAAATGGCCAGCATCTTTGGCCATTAGGGAAACACAAATCAAAACAACACTGAGATTCCATGTTATCCCAGTAAAAGTGGTTGCCCTCAAAGACTAAAAAGAAAAAAACCCCAAATAAAAGATATTAGCACATGTAATCCTGCACAGACTTCTGATTTACTTGATACCCACTTACCCATGTTTCTGTAATGGTCTCAACCTTCTGTTGTAACCCTCCAGTTTCTTATATCTTGGAATAGATTTCCGTCTTAAGGTCTGGCTAGGCTGTGTCTCTCTGGAGTATCATTTCAATAGGAATAGCTATTATTTTCCATTTTTATCAAAGAGCCAAATTAATTTATAATTCCACAATGGTACGAAATGTATAATGATGCCTTGTTTTAATATATTTTTCAAGACATTTATTTTCCCTAGCTACTCCAAGGGAAGCTAAAGCTTTTGCAAAATTTTTCCAAAATACCTAATACACATTAAATATGTGTAACCTTCATAGAGATATTACATAACATAACATTTCGACAACTTTTACCTTCTTTTGAGTTCTCTGGTTTCAGAATTCTCCTGACCGACACTTTGCATTCTAGCGTTTTCTAGATTGTGCCATCGTCTCCCTTGTTTGTATTTCAGAATCTCACTTTGCCACTCATCGTCAAATGCATGAGCATCACCTACATTAAATACAGAAGTAAAGAGAATATGTACGTAGGTATCAACTGTCAGTAAGTGCCTTGCTTTCCCTCCTACTGCATGCTGGCCTGGTGTTTTCTTCAGCTTACCTTCGAGACAGAGGTAGGACGCTGTTTTTTCAGTTAGGATAATATTCCCACTCCTATATTTTATTCCCCTATTCCTACTGATGATCTGGTTTTCACTACCTGTCTGGATATCACTTTGTTCTACCCAATGGACTGGTTGACCCAATCACACTCAATCATGATCTGAATCTGAATCATCTCACAGTGGTGTTCCTGTAGTGGGATGCTCCTTTTAGTTGTTGTTTTTTTGTTGGGTTTTTTTTTTTTTCAGACAGGGTCTCACTACGTCGTTGCGACTGACCTGAAACTCATTGTGTAGCCCAGGCTGCAATTGCACTCACAGCGATCCTCCTGCCTCAGCCTCCCGAGTGCTGGGATTACAGGTGGGCACCACCATGCCCGGCTTGGGATGCTCCTTCTGTGGCTAGCATCCCTCTTCACCTCATCATCCTCCTGTTTAACCCTACCGCATAAGCTCTACAGTCAATTTCCAAAGATAAGATACTAACTCGGGCCTGCCAGTTTAGGGTGTCATGGAAGTTTTAAGTAATGTAACTTCCATAACAGCAATAAACGTAGATGACAGCTCCTGTACTTTCAGACTTCCCTTATCATAATGTGTTCCTGAACTAAAATTTTTTTCAACATGTTACTTAATGTGAAATAGTCAATGTAGGTTTAGATTGTAAAATTACAAAGGCTACAAATAAAGGTGAAGGTATTGTGGCCTCCATCTTATTGCATAAGAATAATATATCAAACCTACTTCAGTAGAATTCCTGTTTCTAAAATAATATAGTAGTTTAAAGCTTTTATTTTAATAAGACATTACTCAAAATAGATTATGAAAATAGAAGATGAATATGACTAAATTTCAATAATTTTACTTTTAAATTAAAATACAAATAACTGAATATTAGTATTAAAATTAACATTTGATTTAAATTGTTACTATATTTTAGTATACTTAAAGCTATAATGAGAAGGGTTAGAACATTAGGAAGACCTAAAAGCATTGAAGAATCAATGTAAATCTGGAAAATGAACGACTTACTTGATAAAATATATATTATCTAGGGTACACCAGGAATTAAAAACTATACAAAACACCCAAGTTTTCAAAATACAAAATAGTTTAAATTGTGACTCATTCATGATGTAATATTTAGGTTATCACTTATAATGTTTTTAAAAAAATAATATGATGGGTGATTTTTACAATTAGAATGGTGAATTAAAATAAGCACAATATGGGGCAATGGATTTAGCTCAGTGGTTTAGCCACCTGACTCTCCAGCTCAAGGGCCTGAGTTTTCCCTCGTACAAATAATAATAATAATAAGCACCATATATACTACACATAAACACTAATTTGAAAAAAATGATGTGTTAACACATACATAAAACTATTAAGAAAAAACATTAAATTAATATTAGTTCTTACTTGGATTTGGCATTCTACATGATTTTTACTTTCTTCATACTTTTCAGGTATACTCCCTTGATAAAAATACTTCAGTACTCATTTTACCTACTGGTAATATTACTAAACAACAGGCCAAATTCTATTTTCTAAGTATAAATCAAGAAAATAAATCATACCCCACACTGTCACAAAACACTGTAAAAACATCGTTAAATGACTAAACCACAGTTTTATTTCTTTGGTAGAGCATTCCTCGTACATGTTCTTCATAACCTACATCTTATGAAAATCAATCAAGTTCTGCAAATGTAGCTGATAGTTTAACTTTATAGGAAAGAATATCTTTGTAATAACCTACTTTCACTCATATTGATAAACTCTTGATTGACCTCTTCATCTCCAGTCTTCTCGTTCCTCGACTTTTTAATAACATGACCTTAGTCATGGATATGATGACCAACAGCCATTTTTTCTAGTACACCGTAAGAATCTCTCACTGCTTTCCTGGTTTCCTTCATCCGTAAAAATAAAATAAAAATAATATATAAATTAACTTATTTCTAAATTTCACAGAATCCTGTCATTTAATAAAGTAATCTTTAGATCTACCCCTCCAAAGATAACAAATAACTAGCTGGATGTTGTTGCACCGATCTGTAATACTGGAACTGTGAGAGACTGAGGCGGGAGGGTCACAAGTTCAAAACCCACCTGGCCAAACTTGTCATTTAGAGAGACTCTATCTCAAAAAAAGATCTGAAGCTATAGCTCAATGTGAAGGCTGTAAGGACAAATTTTATTTATTGCCCTTTGCTGTGCACTGTCTCCTAATTAATTTGGCTCAATCGGCTAAAAGAACGTCCACCAGCCTTAAATAAGTACAAAAGCGAAAGTTTATTGAAGGATATGAGCATACAAAAAACAAAAGTAAGCATGGAGAGGACAAAGAAAGAGGAGAGTCCTCTAACAGCAAGAGGGACTCTATTGGGAAACTACCCTTAGGCTCTCTGGCATCAACACCGGAATGCTGGAGGAATTAGGTCCATCACTCGCAACACAGCACGGGTATCTTCAGCAGTCCCTTAGGCTACATGTCTCAATCCCGGGTGTAAGACAGCAGCAGCATCCTGGGCTAGACGGGCTGCTTATATAGCTCTCTAGACAAAGGTAGTAAATCTATCTGTACTCTTGGTGCGGAAAAAGGTGAATGTGCTTGCAGTCTAGTCCCAACCAGGCCCTGGCCAGGGGCCCGGGAGGGGTGCAATGCATCACATTCCTCATCTTGATGTTAAGAACATCTGGTCTTTTTAACAAAGTCCTCCCTGTTTTTTCCCCGGGGAACTGGCCAGGTATCCAGGGAAAGAAGAGGTGAACTAGTGATTTTGCGCCTTAGAGAGCCGAAAGCCTTAACCCAAGCCTTTCCAACTTAACGTTTTAACTTTCCTTACAAAGGCTCTGCATTCTATCCCTAGTACTACATTTTTTAAAAAAAGAGTAACTATATTTATAAAAAAAAGAGTAACTATATTCAATTCTATTATCAACTTACAGTAAAATTGTAGTAAGAGGTCTCTGATATTTCCTAAAATGTTTAAAGTAAACATTTCTAGGACAAATATAATGAATAGGATTTAACCTTTCTCCAAATTACAATAAAATATTTTAAAAGGACTTAATTATATAAAACTCAGTGCCCTTAACACTGTCTTTGACTATGTAATAGATGGAAGAGTGTGCTACATTCCTACCAGTGCTGGCAACTACTTATCAATCATGTGGATGGGTCTGAATCTCATTGTTCCCACTGTGAACTCTATGAAAGCATTATTAGAATATTTATGATAGCAAAAGATTAACATTTTCAGACAACTTTATATATGTAAGACTTTGTCACTTTTAGCTAATCAAGATTAAAATATCTATGATGAATTTGCAGAACTATGGCAAGGGTATTGTTAAGGTTATATGTTTGTGTATGGGAACTAAACAATTATTTCACATTCCTTAGTCTGGAAAACCTAAAATTTTACTGTAAGTCCTAATAAGGAAATGGAGGAATGGGAATACTCACACCACAATTTGTAGAAGCCAACAGTTCTGATCACTATGGTAACTGATAATTTCTAGATAAAGACGAATGTGCACATACCCTACAGCCCAGCAATATCATTCTTAGGTCTTACAAGAGACCTGCATAAGGATTAATTAGTGCAAAGTTAGTTACACTTAAATATCTATCAACAGAAAAATAGATACAAATTTGTGCTTTATTAATATTTTGAGTAATACATAGAAGTAAAAGCAGAGAAACCAGGACTATATGTATCAACTTGAACAAATCTCAGAAGCCTATTACTGAGCAAGGACACATTCAATAATAATCCCAGTCATATAAAGTTGAGAGATCTGAAGAACTTATCTATTATGTTTCATGATGTGTACATAAACAATAAACTTATAAAAATACGCATAATAATGATAAACTTCAGACACAGGTAAAAGGTTGACAAACAGAAAAGGGGCCTGGAAGGAGCATACTAGAAGCTTTAATTGTATCTGTAACACTTTTTGCTTAAAAAGAAAACAAAACAAGAGACAACTTGAATCAAATAGAGAAGAATGTTATGATTTGAATAAACTGGGGGCAGAGATATGGTTATTCATTATATATCCTTTCTGTACAACTTGAAACATTTCATTTAGTTGACTATGGGTAGGATACTTCATGGACCAAGGGTTTCCTATTATTATCTTGTCAGTATGTGAAGATAAAAGCAATTGATAGATATTTACATAACAGAAGTCATCCTCACAGAGCTGGGGGCAGAGAGGACAAAGAAAATACCATATGCTAAATACAACTGAACTTTAATGGTTTTCCCAGTGATGAATGCCTCACTTACCACCATGCCTCTGCCGCCATCTTGCCACTCTTTACCAAATCAAATGTAGCAATTAATGTGATGTAGGCAATCTATCACCCCACAACTTCGGAAAGCTCTGAGAATGTCTGCAAAGTACTTACTCCTCCTGGAGCCCTACGGGTTTAAGTTGAGGCCTGGACAACCTTTGGTGGCTCATCTCCTATTCTGGAGTAAGTCATAACTGAGGAAGAACAAAAGGAATGTCCACTTGGATCCACTGAAAGGTGATCCTACAGGCATATAGAGATTATAGACTTAGTGTCAGGTGAAATCAAAGAATTAATGCAAAAGGGGTCAAATAAGTAACAAAAGTAGCTATCTGTTCTACTAAGGACAGCATCCTACCAACACAATCCAAGTGTCACCCCCATAGCCTCCTTCACTTTTTTTTGGTACTGGGGATCGAACTCGGGTCCTTGTGCTTGCAAAACAGGCGCTGGAATCACTGAGGTAAATCCCCAGCCCCCTCCTTCACTTTTGATACAAATTTCCAATCTCTGTAAAGTATAACAAGTGATCTGTTCAGATATCCTTAAGTCTTTGAGTCTTTGTACCTTATATTTAAATAAAGATGCTATGTCCTTAAAACCTGTGATACTCCCATAGTCTGAGTTTAAACCTTATTATAATATTGTCAATGGTGAGCTGATTAGCTATGTTCCAAGAAGTTTCATTTGAGCATTCTGAAATAATTGATAAATTCAAACTGGATGACTAAATTATTTAAATTTTTTTTTTTTACTATTATGAGTAAAAAAGTATGAGTATTAGTACTAGCTGAAAAGTACTGTATTTGGATTGTATGGATCTAATCTAGTACCTAAATATCATTCCTGAAATTTGTTTTCAGAGGTTTAGTAAAATGCAATGTCATAGGTGCTATAAATCCTTTTAAGCAGACAGGGTATAAAGAATGAAAACATGAAAATTTATACATGTTCATTTACAAGAGCAGCTCAGCAGAACAAATGTTTTTAAGGCTGAATTTTAAAAATTGTGAATATTAACCAGAGTTTTTTGTCTAAATTGTAGGCTGTGAATTAAATTTAGTAGGACATTACCAGGATTTTTAGACCATGGAGTAAAATATAGACTCTCAGAACATAATGTAAAGAGTACAGTCATTTTTTTATGAAATCTTTGTTTCATATAGAGAGTGTACACTTGTTATGTATAGGTTACTCATGTAAGGTATTTTTTTGTTTTGGTTATTGTGGACTATAGTTTGAAAGTCACAGCAATTTAGGGTACCAATAACTGAAAGCAATATACTCATCACCTTATTTTTACTACCTACAAAGTTTCTTTGTAATTCCTGCATACAGTTTTGCATATGTCCCATGATTCTGTCCATTGCCTGAAAAAGGCTGACATCTGTATGCCATAGAATATCAGGAAGTAATAGTATTAACTACAAGTACAACTCAAAAGAGCAAGTCAGTATTTCCAAAATAGCTAAAACAAATTTTTTCCAATTCAGGCACCAGTCAACCAGGCAGAAATAATTGAAGGACTATCCAATGAGAATGATTTATTAAAGGAACAATTGGAGCAGATGCAAAATCCCAAACAGCCAACAGAAGTGACTAGGGAATTATGAGACTATAATTATACCACAATTTATACATGCATGTAAATATGAATATGCATACATAAATCATGCATAGCATTCTGTTGATAATATTAAATACTGAATGGCATATTTGGGGGCTGGAACAGTGCTAGCATAAGATAGCTTTTACATTCTTCCATTTTGCCTCTCATATTCCCGTCACGCAAATGAGTAAAACTCATTCCACCAGTATCCCATGGCTGATAGAAGCTGCCTCTCAAATAGCCAGCTCTCCTCTCACTATTTAGGGTTCAGGTGAAGGAGATTCAGCCCACTGTACCAACACACCTTCCATTTGCTGCTTCCTGAAGGATCAGTAGGCCACACCCTCGGAGCGTGAGGTATGACCATTCAGAAGAACGTTTAGAATTCCTCTGATTTCTCAAGCGAGATTCATTCTGATGTCCGGGGGACATGAGGCAATAACTATATTTACGCTGGGGGTTCACAGCTGAGAAAGGTGTATGACTGCCATCTAATGGGTGGAGACCTGGGATGCTGCAAAATATCCTATAACACAGAAGACAGTCCCCAGAACAAAAAAGTATCTGGCCCAAAATGTTAGTAGTGCTAAGGGTTGAAACGTTTTGCTCTAGAAAAATCTGCCATTGACTTTAGAATTTTTTTCACTGGAATAGTCACCAACAAATAAAGGTTAGGCTATATTCTAGTGTATCTCCTGATGCATCATCTAATATAACAAAACAATGGAAATTGCCTGGTTAGAAGAACTCCTTCCTCTGCTCAAGCAGGAGCCTTCTGAATCCTGTGGTTCCATGCTAGTATTTTATGCTCCCTGGAGATTCTTTGGCTGTGAATCAAGCTTGACCTTGATAAAGAATTATCAAAGGCTTAGCTCTGCCTTTTATTATATTTTACTGTTAGTAAAATGGAAAAACAAATTTCTCTATAGAATCTGCACTCAATCCAGTAGGAACTAACAAAGGCATGTTGGAGGAGATACTGATACATCTCTAAGTACACAAAGTACTGGAATAGAATTAATCTAATTTCAGAGATTAATCACACTTAAAGAAACATTCCGAATTTTTAACACTAAATTGAGAACCAGAACCAGCATAAGAGATATAATTCATAAGATATGGAGGTTTAACCCCAAAAAAAGGAAAAGAAAAGGAGGAGGATTAATTAGATGTTTTGTTCCTTCTACCCTATTT